TGAATGGATGCGCCTTGTTTTAACACAACGGCGAGTAGAAGAATCACTAACGGTGACATCTTGGACATGAATCCAGGCCGAGCTTGTCACGCTTTATGTCGTGACAGAAGGTCATCATGACATGACGGTAAACAGGGGCTATCAAGAACTATCTCTGTATTCATCCCGATTTAAGGCGACTCGACCTGGTAATGGTTTGATGCACCGTCGATGTTTGATGGCATCTTGGACATCTTGGACATCGAATGCAGTTTGAGGTTTTCAAGTTTGTCGGTCAAGTATAGAATGAGGTGACAGACATGATTTGACATGATACCTATGTATAGAGCTATCGATTTGTCTAGACGTTGAATATTGAAGATAGTGAATTCCAAGTCGGTCGTTCTATCGCCTTTAAAAATGAGTTTTCGTGTATCACTAATGGTGATATATTGTATTTATCATACTGAACCCTTTTTCATACTATATGTATATAGTCTATTGACAAAAAGTTGGCGTCCACCGAATTTCGTAGCACGCGACCGACCCGAACAGGTTTCTAGGTAAAAATCAATTCAACCTCCTAGTATAGTGTCAATTTGTTTCGCCTTTTATTTCTTTTCAAGAACTCGAAAAACAAACGTTGTACGTTATTCTTGAGAAATTATCCTTCAGTAGCATGTTTGTAGATGAGTAATATTTAACGTTGTTTTAATTCCCCGCCATGACATGGGGATAGCAATGTAAGATGCAAAATCAACATCACACGCATAGCATGGATGCAAAATCAACATCACACGCATAGCATGCATTATAAAATTCTCGTGATTTGAAAATTTTTGTCACACATTGTGTCAGTTCTTCCAATCGCAAAGGCGTTCAATTCTCTAATTTGACAGTTCATTGATGTTTACCCTGAAGCCAGTACGGGGTTGCATTTCGTGCAAACCCGGTCGATGACAACCTTTTGTCAATCGACTATATACTTTTCATGGCGTTTGAAGTCAACGAAAAATTCTAAACAACACTGAAATCCGGCACTGCCACAATCTTGTTTTCAGAGCACTCTCTCTCATTGTAGATGCAGAGTATGCCGTATACATCATGTCTAGACGGCTGGTCCGCCATTTATTTTCTTTTGAAATTCTAAACTTTATGAATACATTATTCGTACTTTTTCCCATTACCTAGGTTTTGCACAGTACAAAATGACAAGGAAACGCTCTGGCAAAGCGTGTTTCAATGATTCAATATGTAATATATACAATATGAGCGGGCGATCTGTATGTAATATACAACTCTCTTCATGGGCTATGATTTCTATTGTGTTTTGCCTTATGAATATTAATGAGTTTTATAAGCACAAATACAGTGATCTAGTGTATTTTGATGTTTTATTTCTTGTCCAACAAACAGCTACCTAACTAGGTACTGAGCTGGCTGACAAATACCTCGTATTGGACTCGTGTCTTTTGATTCTTATCAAGGATGTCCCTGTGGCAGGTATTTTAAATGGCAGCGGCATTACAATGCCCATTTCACTAAGAGACGTCAAACAAACAGGACACTGAGGAACTCGAGTAATGCTACTGGAGTTGGGGATTCCCTCACCTATCCAAGTAGTAACACGAATTACCCACGAATTACCATGTACTGTTTTCATTTTCGGAAAATCATTTTATT